AAAGAGCCGGAAATAATCTGTCTAGAATGTAGGGGAAAGTGGACAATTACACACTATTCAAAAATCCAGAAAGCTACACATAAAAGTGGTGTAAAGAAATTAAAACCAGAGGGGGATAAATGCTGTCTGGAATGGTATCTCTAGAGGCCACATGCCTAGAGGCACCTGCTCCATCTAGGCAGGAGAGGGTAGGGAATCCCGCCTGACTTGAGCAGTCAGACTGTTCGAAAGGAAACAGAAACACACAGAACACTCAATGGAATCGTAGCCGGTACGACAAACTGAAACAGGAAGAACTGAACCCAAGACACGGAGCCAGGTCTAGCTGCTGATTTTGCTGAGTTTGTAGAGAAAGCACCATAGGAAGCTGTGGTGGGGTTGGAAAGACAGCAAGAGGTTAATTCATGGTACTGAAAATCCAAAGCTATGCCAGAGATAGCCAACCATGGTCCACACTGGACCTATCTCATTCCAAAGCTAATCAGAACCACATGTGAGCTGAACCTCATTAACATGTCAGTTCAACCTCCATCCAACTCAATTTATGATTGCATGGGAAAGATGAACCACTCCCCGGCTATCTGATAGATAGAGCAAAGGATATACCTTCATTTGAATACACAGTTACAGCTAAGATAAAAATCAGGGAGTGAGGTCCTGTAGTCTTCTGAAGATCAAGAGAAAGAACTGGTCGATAGAAAGAGCCCATGCTGGAACTCAGGGACAAGCTCTCAGAGAACTATTCTAAATATGTTAAAGAAATTAATGGAAAAGAAACATAAACGGATTAGGAAATGCAGAATTTCAGGAGAAGAGGATTCTGAAGGAGGGGGTGGAAGAGGAAGAATTACCTTTTTAAATGGCACTTCAGAACTGAATGATAACTATTCAAAACTGAGATGGGCTTGAAAGGATATTATTCACAGCAGGAAGAAAAAAGCATCTGTGAACTCAGACGTATTAAGTGACGTTATTGAAACTGAGGAAGGAAAGATAAAATTAAACAGGGAATAATCAAGCAAGTGGAACAGTATCCACACACATACACACACAAACACACACATGGAGTCTCAGCAAAGGAGGAAAAAGAATTGGGCAAAAGAAACATTTTAAGAGACAGTACCAAGAATTTTACAGAATTGACATTCAAAATATCAACTCACATATTTAAAAAATCTTACAGTTCCAACCAAGATGAATGAAAAAAAATGGCAACCATTAAATTATTGTAAATCAAAGATAAAGATACGAAATCTTAGAAGCTGCCAGAAGATGAAATGTTGTACTGAGGAAACCACCCTAAGAATAATGGCTGGTTTCTTTTCCAAAACAATGGAAGTCAAAGGATAATGGACATGTATCTTTAAAATGCTGGAAATAAAAAAAAAATTCCAAATGAGAATTTTTAACCAAAGGAGATAAAATTGTTACCTACCTCACAGAGTTTATGTGAGGGTTAAATGGATTAATACTGTAAAGCATATAGATTAGACAGTGACAGAGAGGAAGAGAGAAAGATCTTCCATCTACCGACTCATTCCCCAAATGCCTCTAACAGCTGGGGCTAGGCCAGAACAAACCCAGGAACCAGGAGTCAGGAACTGCATCTGAGTCACCCTTGTGGGTGGCAGGAACCCCGGTCTGTGGGCCATCACCTGCAGTCCCCCAGATGCATTAGCAGGGAGCTGCATCAGAAGAGGAGTAGCTGGGACTTGAAGTAGGCGCTCTGATATGGAATGGAGGGTGACACAGCCAGCACCCGAACCCCTCTTCCACAATGCCCACCCCTCCATGAACTTCTGAAGTGCCCTCATGTGTGCTGTCCTGCTGAATTAACCAGAAAGAAAAGGAGGAGGGGCAATTAAAATCAGAACCATTTAAATCCTTCAAAACTGAAATTGGGTGATTTGCATCAATATAAGTCATGCTGAAAATGCTTATATCTAGGATGCAAATATCAACTCTTTCATTTTCAAAAGGGAAGTAACTGCATTATTTGTTTGCTTTTAACCCAGAAGCTTCAGTGTTTCCCATGGCTCAGATACAGTATATTTTTTTTTTGAGGTTGAAGAATCAAATGAAAATGCCACATCTAGAAACCTAGGAGTCTGAAGTGTTTAGAATCAAATCTTTCATTATGGTACAGCTCATTACACATGAAGAGAGTTTTAGAAATACAAGGGTACTTAAAAGATCATCATGCCTACATATCACCAGTGAGCAAACAGAGCCCAGAGAAGTCGCAGAGCTAATTAATACCAGAGCTGGGGCGAGATCCCATGGCTTTTCTTTGACATTCAAGCTCGTTTTTAATGGACTATGGCTTTGTCAGTTTTTCTTTAAGGGCCTCCTTGCAGCCCCTTGTTCCACGTGGACTCTTGCTCCATTAAATTTCCCCTGCTAATGGATGTCAAATAGAGATTTAGAGCAATGTCAGAACTGTTTCTGGGAACACAGTGGAAGATTTTAGAACAGTTTCTTCTCATAAACCAAGAGCTATAGAAATCATAAGGGTAAATGTATTGGAGCTTATAAGAAATATTTTAATATGCAGTAACTCTAACAAAAGTGGAGTTTGTGGCCATAAATGATTTGCTGTATTTCTGTATTGATTTATTGGATGAATCTGACATTTATGTGAAGCAGTTTACAAGTTGAATTTTATATGAAAGTCTTCTCCCTATATGGAAATACGTCCCTCAAGAAAATAGTAATTTGCCTATTAAACAAGTAAATGACAGGGGAAGGTGTTTGGCACAGTCATTACATCTTCCCCTTGGGATGCCCACATCCCATATTGGAGTTCCTGTTTCCAGTCCCAGCAACTGTGCTTCTAATCTGGTTTCCAGTTAATGTACACTGCAGGAGGCAGCAGGTAGCTCAAGTGCTTGGGTCCCTGCCACCTACATGGGAGATCAGGTGGAGTTCCTGCCTCCTGGCTTCAGCCTGAGCCAGCTCTGGCCATTGTAGACATTTGAGAAATGAACCAGCAGGTAGATCTCTGCCTCTCTGTGTATGGATCTGTCCCTCTGTCTTTCAAATAAAAAATGAAAAAAGTTAGTGAAAAAAATCATTCTAACTAATCTTAATCCATATTTTTTTCTCCATAAATCAACACTTTTCCCCCCTCTATTCTCTTCCCTAACTCCTTACTAGGGTTTCTAGAATCTGATATATTCTGAAAACTAGAGATTATTATCAACTGGAAAAATGCAAATATCACCACCCTTTAATTCTCTTTTCTAATATATAACTTGAAATTAAACTTGAAATTTAGCCACTTTAAATACCCCATCAATTTGATTTCGTTTGTCCCTACAGTTATTCCAGTTGTCTTAGACACTTTCTTGCCTGCTATATGGTCTGATATATGGCAGTTTTCTCCCACATTTAATCCTGCAGCCAGGCATGCTGCTCCACATGCCTAAGACTGATAGACTACTGCTATTACCACCAACTTCAGAAAAGTAGATTGCTCTGGGGTCCACCTGAGTTGACCTTAAACTTTTTATATTTAATGGCAAATCATTTATGGATGATATCCAGAGTAGTCCTGTACATTTTCCTATACATACTTTTTTATATAATCTGCACTCATCACCCTTCCTATGATGTAAAAACCTGTCTCTAACACTTCCCACCTGTTTAAACTTTCCCCCATTGCCCTATGTAGAGAATTAATCAATTCTGTTACAGTGATCTTTCACTGTCTTGATTGTTGAAGGTAAATTATTCTCTTTCTTAAAACAACAAGAGAAGTCACTGAAGACTATTGAAATAGAGGTCAAGCTGATCTCACTAAGGAAGAGAGATTAAGCTCAATCCCAGATACAAACAGGAACAAGTGGATAGTTAGAGGCAGAAGCCAGGGCAACAAAGAAGATAGAAAATTACTCAGAGGGTGCTTAATGTATGAAGGGGCTAGAGCAGAAGAACCCGATTAGATATCAAGGTGAGGAGTAGTCTCAGAAAACTGGCTTAGCAGGATTCTCTGGGCTCTTTCATCAGGCCAGGGTCAAGATCTAATCCAAAAGAGGACTTAAAGGTACTGAGTAAAGTTTACTCAAGTAAAGTCTTTTTGAGTTTTATAGTTCTAAATTTGGATTCAATCAACAGTAAGGACCAAGTTAGAATGTCTGGAGATTCTATACCCATTCTTTTATAGCCCTAAGAAGCCAACCCCATCATTACTCATGCCATTATAGATGACTGATTCTAGCTGTCTTCCTCAGAGCAAAATCTTTGGGCAGAACTACACACACATACACACACACACACACACACACACAGAATTTGTTCTAAATGAAAATTAGGAACTCTAATCAACCTCAGAGTGTGATGGAAAATACTTGAGATGTTTATATTGTGCTGAACTACTAGGGAGGCATCATCTCAAAACATTTACATAAATGAATTCTGTCCATCCCTCCTACAGTCTTCTGAAGGAGGCACTCTCATTACCTCCATCCTAGGCTTACAGCCAGGGAAACTGAGGCATGTAACAGTTACACAGCTTGTCTATAGTTACTCAACTGAGAAATGTCAGGGTTATCATTGAAACCTAAACAACATGACTTCTAAGGTGGTGTTATTGACCACCATGCAGTCCTGCTTCTATAAACTCTTTCCTTCCTTTCCCTCAGCAAACCCATAGAACTAGAAGGTAGGTAAAGGGGAAAGAGACAAGTAGTATAAAGACGTCTGTGTGTTTTGGCACCATCTTCACTGTCGCAGCTGCTTATCTCCAAAGCCTTGTGCAGACCTTAATGCACAGCATTTTGTTCCTGGATAAGTGACTGAAATGACAAGACAACTTCATTTTCACTTTCTGATCATTGAAGAGATAAATTCATTTTGTTTCTCAAACCCTGGTGTGCTGAGGGCTGCAGTGACAACATGTTTGGACCAGGAGGCATGATCTGTGTGTCATAACACAAGGATGATTGCAGTTGGCCATGGGAAAGCCAGCCCACAGAGCTTTCCAGTTTCAGCTTGTGGAGAGCTGGCCTCAGGTACAAGGATATATAGCACGGTGAGCCCTTCTCCTGGAAGTCCAGAGCTACCCTTAGGAAAAGCTGCTTGCCGTGGGATACAGAAAGAGTGCATCTCATTGCTCTTTAGACGTGAGTTAAATTCTTCTGCCACAGTCTCGGCTCAGTTCTCGTTTGTACCTTCAAGTCCTAGAGAAAATCAAAGTCCAAGACAGACAAAAAGGTAAGAGAAAAACCAAGCAATGCGTTGCCAAAGCCATTTGTAAGAATGACGGGCTGTATGAGTGTTGGGTCAGAGACTGGTCCTCTTACCTCATTTACACTTTTCCTTGATTTCCACCATAGCTCAGCAGAACTCATCCTAAGAAATCAATGACTAATTTCCTGCAAAGCAGAATCAAGCAGTCTGCAATGTTCTTCACTGACTGGAAATAAGTACTTTGTTCACCTTATTATGTGAAGGCCAAACCAAATATCTGGCAGAAGCTTATTGAAGTATTTGTATGGGAACAAAATCAAAAAAGCTCACTATAACTGCATAATGTGAAATAATACTCTCTGAGTACTCTTGACGGTGGGAGTTGGGAGACTGGGGGTGCACGGAGATCATTGTTTCCTGTCTCAGAAATTGAATTCAGCCTTGCACATAAGCATCACCAAGTGTGCTGTGGCACATCTGGGGCCTATTTATAGTGTAGGGGTTTTCATGTGGAATTCAAACAGAGATGAAAGAAGGCAACTCCAGGGCTCCAGGAAAGAATTTGGTATTTCATTGCATTTGATCATTTTATTGAATTTGCCTGGAAAAAAATCTATTAGAAAACAGAGCTTAATTTTTAAACTCAGAGATTATGCATTCCAGCTTGGGCCTGACAATACATTTTTGGTTTTGGCTTTCATTAATCAACTCCACATTACTAATAAGGCTGCTTGTTCTATTCTGTTGGTTATGGGGGAATTGGTGTAGGATCTCATTCCATAAGTGGTAAACCTGTTTTTTGTGGATTTTCTTGGGGGCAATGTTCAAATTCTATACATAACAGAGTTGTGATTTACACTATTCCTAAGTGATTTTTAAAGAGATTTTTGTAGCATAATTAAAATACAAAGTGGAAAAGCACAGTAGTGTAAAAGATGTGTGACTGTGTGGAGCAACTGGGGAGTTACCAATGAATATCAATTGCCTTATGTCCTTTAATTTTTGGAAACAAAAGAATATAAAAATGACATGAATGACCAAATAATTAACCATGTAATCAAAAAACTGTGGGTAAGTTGCTTAACCTCTTTGAGCCTTTGTTTTCTCACCTGAAATAATGATGCCTACTTTATAAGATTGCTTTAAGAATTAAATGGGATAAAACATGTGCAGACCCTAACAGAAGACATGGCACAACAGGTGTTAGCTGTTGTTGTGACACTGGTATTGTATTAGTTGTTTCTGATCAAAGCTTACAGATGCAGGAGAACACCAATTGCAATACTCGAGTAATGGCCATACCTTTTGTATTTCCCATTGGGAAAACTGGATGGAGGGACTTGGGATATTCTGTAAGGCTGCTGCATACAGGGGGTTCTATCTAAACAAAAAATCAGAACTCACACAGATCGCTGGCCTTTCTGGCAAGCCAGTAGGACAGTAGGAGAAATGCTGATGTGGCAACTCCAAGATAAACAGCTTTGCTCAATCATCATCACATTAATGGACCTTTAGACATCTCAGGAGCTCACCTTGTTTCAGTTTGAAAAATGGTTGCAGCTCACCTGATTTCTAAACTGAGTAACATCCTGTGCAGGTTAATGTGCATGCCCTTTCCCCTAGAAAAAGTTGGCCAGCATCAGCTGCCAACTTGAGTTTCTTGTAGAAGGATCCAGCATTGAAATTTCTGCTCTTCCTCCTGCTGTCTGACTTGCACAAGTAATTAAGCTCTCTGGGCTGAGTATTCTCATTTGTTACCTCATGGAATTATTGTAAAGATGAAAAGAGAAAATGATTGCATGATGCATGGGGCATGCCCTACAACATAGTAATTGCTCAATAAACATCAGTGGTCCTTATTTATTCTTCTGTTGAATGTTATTTGCACTGAGAGGTTAGATGTCATTCTTTTTTTAATTGTGTGGTTTCTTCCATGAGTTATTTTGACTTGAAAGTTAAAGAATTGGGAGAAAGAAGTTTTGTTTTCAAAAACCATAGTCAAACCATTGTATGGCTTTATTTAGCAATTTAAGAACACTGTGTCTGGTAATTGTCTTCAGAAGTAAACTGTGGTACTTTTCATTCCTAACAGTGAAGGTATGCAAAGTATTAGGACAAAAGTTTTTTGTTCAAAAGTACCTTTAGGGTTTTGGGTTCCAAGATGGTGGAGTTGGGAGGGAACTTACTGCTGTAGCCCAGGAGAAGAGTGTATAAAAAAGTGGAGATAGTGTAGTCTCAGGGAAGAGTTAGGGGGAAATGGTAGAGGAAATTCTACCGAAATTAGAGGGACACAGTGGACCTACATGGAGGGTATGGGTGCCCACAGCTCGGAACTCCAGCAGCCAAGTGCCTAAGCACCAACACTGCAAAGTGGGTGAGACCAGATCACAGCAGCCCAAGCCACTGGTGAAAAAGCAACAGGAAGAGCCTAGAGGAAACCAGGCTTGGAGTCCTGTGATGGAAAGTATACCAGCCAAACTAGAGGACGGGGGAAAAATAGGGGATGGGGTGGACACGTTTCTCTCTCACAGGTATCTTTACAAAGCCATACTTGAAGAAGCCAATGGAGCAGGTGCCATTTTGGACATACTTAACAACTGTGCTTGTGTCTGCACCCTGCAAACAGCCAAGCAGAGACTCCTGACTCTGGTGGGGAGAAGTAACAGGGGGCTAGGAGCTTGTGACTCTGCAGATTCTGAATTGGGAATGTGAGGAAAACAACAGGGTATGTGGGAGAACTCATGGTGTGGCTGGGACTTTGAGCAGTCTCAGTGGGCAAGCTCAGGGGTTCCTGGTTACCTGGTGAGAGACACTGTTGGGAATCTGAACTTGCACTGAGGACTGCACAGATCCTTTGTGTGGCCCTTGGGATGGAGCAGATGAATATTATACCCACTGGGGCTAACGCTCAGGCTCTGGTCTCCATTGAGGAGAGCTCAGCTGAGCAGAATATACCTCCCTTCCGATTAAAAAGGGGGGGGGGCAGGGGAGGGGGACTGGCACCATGCCAAGTAGGTTAATCCTCCACCTGCTGAACAGCATCCCATATCCCACTGGTTCTAGTCCCGGCTGCTCCTCTTCCAATCCAGCTCTCTGCTGTAGCCTGGGAAAGCAGTGGAAGATGGCCCAAGTGCTTGGGCCCCTGCATCCATGTGGGAGACCCAGAAGAATCTCCTGGCTCCTGGCTTCAGATCAGCGCAGTTCCGGCCGTTGCAGCCATTTGGGGAGTGAATCAACGGAAGGAAGACCTTTCTCTCAGTCTCTCTCTCATTGTCTGTAACGCTACCTCTCAAATAAAGAAATAAAATCTTAAAGAAAAAAAAGAGACAGAGAGAGATTTACCATTCCAAACCTGGGTGTGTCACCTTAGACACGCCCTTATCCCTGCAGAACTGAACAAAGCTCTCTGGCCACACCAACTACAAGCCTGTAGAGATTCACTGAAAGCAGACATTCCACTTATCTACAGAGTCATAGTACAACAACAATAATAAAGCCATCACAGGAAAAAATAAAAAAAGAAGAAACCAATGGTTATCTCCACAAATGCCAAACAACAAATGCACCAATCCAAGAAACAAGAATAAGGAAAACAACATGATGCCCCCAAAAGAACATGACACTTCAATAATAGACTGTGATGACAAGGCAATAGAAGAAATGCAAGAAATGGAACTCAAAAAATTGATCATAAGATTACATAGAAGTGATCAAAAGCAAATGCACAAACTACTGAAATCCATGCAGGACATGAAAGAAAATTATTCCCATGAAATTGAGATCTTAAAGAGGAATGAAAATGAAATGAAGAATTCAATAGAACAAATAAAAAATGCAACAGAGAGCCTTAAAAACAGAATTGGCGAAGCAGAAGTGAGAGTAACAGACTTAGAAGACAAAGCACAGGAAAAGTATACTGTCAAACCAAAGACAGGAAGAGGAAATTAGAAAACTAAAAGACACAATCTACAGGAAATCTACAGGATACTACTTAAAAAAAAAAAAACCCTAACATGCAGGTTCTAGGAGTTCTTGAAGGCATGAAGAGAGAGAACGGATTAAAAGACCTATTTAGTGAAATAATAGCAGAAAACTTCCCAGCTTTGGAGAAAAAAATGGACATCCAAGTACATGAAGGACACAGACTCCCAACAGACATGACCAGAAAGGATCCTCACCACGACATGTAATCAAACTAACTTCAGTGAAACATAAAGAGAAGATTCTAAAATGTACATGAGAGAAACTCCAGATTACTTTCAGAGGATCTCCAATTAGACTCACAGCATACTTCTCATCAGAAACCCTACAGGCTAGGAGAGAATGGCGAGATATAGCCCTAGCCTTAAGAGAAAAAACTGTCATCCCAGAATATTATACCACACAAAGCTCTCATTTGTGAATGGAGGTGAAATAGACCTCATATAACAAACAGAAATTGAATTTGTCACCACCTGTCCTGCCCTCCAAAAGATGCTTAAGGATGTGTTACACACAGAGACACGATCATCAATATGAAAGAAGATAAAGAGAAAATCTCTCAGTAAAAGATCAAAGTAAGTTCAAAGTATAAATTAGGAATATTTTTGGTAAAATGGCAGGGCAAAGTCATTCTTATTAATAGTCATGTTGAATGTAAATAGCCTCAACTCCCCACTTATAAGGAACAGACTTGCTGAATGTATTAAAAACAATATCCATCTACTTTCTGCCTACAAGAAACACATCTTTCCAACAAAGGTGCATGCAGACTGAAAGTGAAAGGTTGGAAAAAGATATTCCATGCCAACAGAAAGCAAAAAAGAGTTTGTGTAGCCATATAAATATCAGACAAAATAGACTTTAACACAAAAACTATTAACAGATACAAAGAAGGGCATCATATAATATTTAAGGGATCAATTCAACAGCAAGATGTAACTATTATAAATGTATATGCACCTAATTACAGGGCACCTGGCTATTTAAAAGAAATGTTAAGGGATTTAAAGGGTGACTTAGACTCCAATACAATAGTATTGGGG